TATACTTTCCCTGTTTATAGACAATGCACAGAGAGGTTAATTAACTTGCCCAAAGTCAATAGCTAGCAAGGGGCTGAAGCAGGATTTAAGCCCAGGTAGTCTGGCACCAGAGCCTGTGATCTTGGGTACCTGCTATGTGCCAGGCATATTGCTAGGCCTAGGGAAATAGAGATAAAAGAGCAAACACAGACTCCCTCAAGGAGGTCATAGTTAAGAAAGGAGACGAGCCCTAGCTGGGTTGGCTCAGTGGATAGAGCACTGGCCTACGGACAGAAGGGTCCCAGGTTCAATTCCAGTCAAGGGCACATGCCTGGGTTGTGGGCTCAGTCCCCAGTGAGGGGCGTGCGGGAGGCAGCTGATCAATGAATGATTCTGTCTCATCATTGATGTTTCTGTGTCTCTCTCCCTCTTCCTTCCTCTCTGAAAGCAATAAAAATATATTTTTTTAAAAAGAAAAGAAAAAAAAGGGGATGAATAACAATAAGGGGATGTGTTGTCATAAGCAAGAACACAATGTGGGGACAGGATTGACCTAGGATAATGGCTGTCTACAGAGGGGCCACCTGACCTCATGTAAGTTCTGAGCACCAGTAGCTAATAGCCAGGCTAGGGAAAGGGAAGGGCATTAGGGCCACAGGAACAGTATGTGCAAAGTCATGGAGCATGGTTGGCCTGGGAACATAAGAGTTCCAGAGGCTGGCACTTACAAGTGTAGGGAAAGACATGGGACAGTAGTCTAGAAAAGTAGAAGCCAGATCCAGATCTTGGAAAGCTTTTTGTGCTGAGTGAGGAAGGGGTGGAGCGAGGGAGGGAGTTGGAACACTTCTTGGAGGCCTTGTAGGATTTTAAGCAGTGTTAGAAGCTCAAACCCCACAGTCTGCCCCCTCCCCACCCACATGACACTAAACCCAATACTCAGAATTCCCTAAAAGCCACATTCATCCCCAGAGAGTTCCCTGGGAGGCCTAGACCTAGAGGGAAATTCACTTTGAGTCTGGGACACACCCAGTGCCACCTGGGAGCAGTGGCTGAGAATCCTCTCACCCTTCCGCTCCCACAATTCCTGTTGTCACCTCCCACCCCCACCCCAGCATGGGCACTTCAGGCCCACTCCCTCCTCTCACGTTTCTCCAGAGATGAGAATTAAGCATCTTTACTTCCCTGCCCACCCTCTGACTCCACCATCTTAATCAGCTTCAGAGCCTGGCACATCCTAGGCCCCAGTCAGTGGAAAAAGAATATGGACACCGAAGCTTCCTGGGGGAGCTGTGGCTCTGGGCTCTCCCCTCCCCTCCACCAGGCTGAGGCTGGTGATTAGCTGGGTTAATTACATCCAAGCCATTTCCGATTGGCACAAGCCCACCCACCCACTGAGCCTGTCCAGAAGGCATGCAGCCCAGGCCAGGGTCAGGATGCCAGGGCACCAGCTACCCTGGAAGGGTACCGACCCCTGCAGTGGTCAAATGGAGAGTGGTTTTCCTGCCCCCACCCTCACCAGGACCTCTGCCCCTCCCCTCACCCCAGGTTTTTCTCATCCCCATCCTCCTTTTTGCAAGTCCCCACACAAATCCCTTCCCCTCCCCTCTCCCCCCAGGTTTGGAATGAAATCATGGGGCTCTGAGTTCCGCACGAGGCCCCAACATAAACATTCTGATTGGGGCTAATTACAAGGGCCAGGTTGGGAGGCTGGAGCCTTCAGAAAGCTTGGCTTTCAAACAAAGAACCCAGGGCTCAGCCCCCAGCCCAGGCCGGCTCCTCTCCAGGCTTCATTAGGAATAAGGAGGGGGCCTGGGGCCATAGGCGGTCCTCTCTAAACCCAGTCAAGGGTCTCTGAGCTGGTTCCATGTCCCAAGTCCCATCTTGTCCTTTCTCCAGGCCTCAAATCTTGGCCTTTCCCATATATCCTGGAAGAGCAGCACATCTGCATTAGAAGGCAAGGCAGCCCAGGGAGGGGCACTCAGGCTGTGAGTCTGGGGATGGGGCAGAGGAGGGGATGGGGGGGGGGGGGCGGGCAACGGGGAAGCCAGCTGTGACAGCCCTAGCCCTAATTAGCCAGCTTCAAAGCCAGCTGGAGAGAGAGCCCGCCCACCTTCGTGCCCTGCTCACTCAGGCGGGTAAGACATTTCTGTCCTAATCAGAGGAGAGGGGAAGAAAAACACTGCCCACTACCGCCCCAAAGAGCCTCCGGACGGACTGTGAGCGGGCACCCTGAGTCAGGTAGAAAAACTGGGAGCACAGAAAGTCATTCTATTCTATTAAAACTGCCAGTAACAATAGGTTAAAAAGTCCTCAGGAAATGCACATCCTTTGATCCAGGGATTCTCCTGTATTTTTAGCAGCTTATCTTAGATTGGAAGAGTGCTACAATTTGTTGAGCTTCTACTATCTACTGGCTTCTGTAAATACACCATCTGATCTAATCCTTGCAACAACCTTGCTGGGACAGTTACTATGGCCTTTTTACAGATGAGGGCTGCGACTCAGAGCTAGGCACTTTCTCATGTCAAAGCCTGTACTCTACACATGGCTGGTCTGTGTGTTTGTCTTTCTCCTGTTTCTTTTCTCTCGACTACACATATTACACATTCATTCCACTGCTGCATCTAGATAACTTGTTCCCTGTGAGAGAAAAGGGATTGATGAATAATCTGGTTTGTGGTGTTCCTGGTTTTGTAGGCCTGATGGTTTTCCCTTCTACACACCCTTTCCACAGCAGAGGTGATTAGAGACTGGGGACAGGAGTCTGAGAAGATAAAAGCTGCCCCTTGGAGAACTGGAGATACCCAGTAATCAGGACTAGGAAATGTCTAAACTAGGAATTGGAAAACTACCTTTGGGGCAGGGCATGGTGGTGTGTGTGTGTGTGTGTGTGTGTGTGTGTGTGTGTACAGCTAGAAGGTCCATAAACTCTCTAAAGTTAAATGCAAAATTGTGTGTTCATGGGGGGTCTGACCATTTTCTCCCAGGAGGCCCAAAGATTTTTCAGGTTCTCAGAGAGGTTAGTGGCCCCCAGTTTAAAATCCGTTTAGAGGAGAGGAGGGTAGGTCTAGAAAAGGAAGGGACCCTACTACAGTGAGCAGTGAAATTATCAAAGGACAATGACTAGGAAGTGGCAGGAGCTTGGACTGGGCTCCCCTAGCCAGACATGTGCCCCATGCACCCTGGGACGGCATCTCCCCACTTCTAGAATCCATCCCAGATCTGAGGTCCCCAACACCTCTTGGAGAGGCTTTTGAAATAATCCAGAGGTCAGCAGCTCCAGATCTTACTGATCTTCATTCTTTGGGGATGTTCAGAAAAATTTTGTTTTGGAAAATTTTACTGTCCTTTTCTGGGGCTGGCTCTTAAAGGACAAAGAGTTTGTAGCTAATGGAACTATTTTTTTCAGGAGGGGAGTTTGGGGAAGGGGAAGAAAAAGCCAAAGTCTGATCAATGAGGGAGGAGTCCGGAGACGAGATGCCCTGAATCTTGAAAACGAGCAGCCTTGCTGCTTTGTGGGATGGGAGGGCAGGTAGAAAGCAGCTGTGGTCTGAGATCTGCCCCAGGCCTGGGGCCTCAGGTGAAATGTTTTCCTTCTGGGGTTGAGAAGAACAATCTTTACCAAAATTCTCTCCCTCTCACCCCTACTCAGGGAAGGAAGAGGTCAGTGTTGCTAATCTGCCATCTCCTGCCACGCTGATAGCATGGGTGTCCACTGACAAATGAACCCAAAGCACACAGAGCTGGGATGCTGAGGCCTTAGAAGTGGGAGACGTTCCTCCCCAAATCTTCAACAGAGACCAGCGCTCCTCTTCCCACTGGGTTCCATCCAGTCACTGGAAAACCAACCCCCCCCACACACACACACACACACACTCACACCGTCCCGTCCCCCCCCCCTCCCCCATTCACAGGCTTTCACCATTCTTTCCAGGAGGGGCACTAACAATTTGTTTGTAATTTAACTCTTTCCTGCAGGCCTTGTGGGGTTCCTTTAGAATCCGGCAACAAATGGAGCTACAGCCTGGTGACACCCTACCCACTTATTTCTTTGACAGCTCAGGGAATCTTATGTTGGAACTTCACATACGCCATTAGGGGAAAAGCTGGTTTTAACGTAGGATTTCGGTCACTGGCACAAACGATTTGGGAGAAGGTTATATATTTTGGGAAAGGGGCTCTGCTGAAATCCTCAGACTTCATACAATTCCAAACAAAGCCCCACATACGACTTCAATTACCACCAAACATTTCCAGATCCCCTCCCCCAACATAAACTAACACTGGGAAGTAGGGGTTCTAACTTACTTTCTCCCTTGTCCCAAACACTCAACAAAGGGTAGTAAGGCACCATTTTCCCCATCAGCATTTAGCTAAAAAAGCAAAATCCTGAGCAGGGAGCCTCTTTTCTACCCCATCCCCAACAGAGAAGTTGTGGGTAGAGGGAAGGAGGAAGTGTGGTTTGGTTAAACTAATAAAATGTTACAACCCTGTTAAATACAATTAAAGGGCTAGATCGCTAGAAGATAATTAAATGCACTTTATTATTATGATTATTAGCTTTTAATTTGCACTATTATCAAGAAACAGGAGATGGTGAAAAATTGAGTTCTGTGGCATACCTGTCCCACCCACCCCCTTGGTCCTCAAATCAATCCTTTAGAATTAAAATTCTAAAATAATCCAAATAGTTGAGGGAAAGGATGTGTATTGGAAACTGCAATTCTCATACCAGTGTCAAAGATACTTTAAGAAAGAGTCTTGACTTTTATTTGTGGGGGGTAGGGGGAAGATAAGAAACATCTGTTATAAACATTCTATCAATCTTGTGATATAGAATGTCATGTAAACACTCAACCCCACCCCCACAGTCACAAAGAGCCTGCCCAGAGCCTTCTTCCAAAGCAAAGATACCCACCTCCCTCCCCCCCTTTCTGGACAAGTTTGAAAAGAAACCAGTCTTTTGTCAAAAGAAAACTAAAAATCCCACCAGCCCATCTCAGCCCATCTGTCCCCTCCCTCCAACCCAACCCACTTTTTATTGCTTTTAGAAAAAAATAACCCTAAACAACAAAAACCCACACATAACACCCAAACCACCCCACAAACCTGAAGCTTGAGAAGATACTCGTTGAGAGAGTGGGGTTGAGGCACAGTCTGCTGGGGAAATTAGGGGAGAGATGCAAGGACATCACCAAACCCCAACATTTGTGAGCTAATGCTCCCCCTAAAAATGTAAGGGTTCAGGATGGATACTCAAGGTAGTGTATGTGTGTGTGTGTGTGGGGGGGGGGTTGTTTCAAAGCACACTTCACAAAGCACTTTGGGCCCACTCCAAGGGCTTGGGGCATCAAGTTGAAAAGAAGAAAAATTGAGGAGACAGATCTTCCTGCCTGCAGGGGAGTGGGCCAGCGGGTGGAGACCATTCCACACACGCTCTCCGCCCTCTCCCCACCACCCCACCCGTAGGGTTTTTTTTCCACATCTTCATCTAGGTTGGGAGGGTTCCAAAGATCTAGTGAAGGAAACAGGACAAGTGAGGAGAGAAAGAGGGGGAGGGGGGGAGGGAAATAAAACAAGAATCCAAGTCTTGTTTAAAAAAAAAAAAAAAATCCACCATCTTCCCCAGACCCAGCTTCAGTGAGAAGGCTCACCAATTTGGCTTTAGAAGTTGAATGTAACAAACTAGCCAAACCTCTTCCAGCAGGCTCAGCCCTGCCAAATCACCAAAAACTCTGAACCAAAGTGCGGTGTAGTTTTGAAAGGCGAGAACCCCTTCAACTCCCCTTCCCTTCAATCCTCAGCCCTGGCGCCCATTGCTGTTCCTTTTTTTTTTCTTCTTTTTTTCTTTTAAATAGAAAATATATAATTAAATTTACAAAGACTATTTACAGTTTTAATTACAAACCTGGTGGGGGTGGTGGGCAGAGTTATCTTTAAAAAGCGACCTAAAAAATAAATGGTTTCGATTGTTCTTTATTTAAAAAAATAAAATAAGGAGTCTGTAGGAGCCCCCCCCGGAGAGGAGGAAAGCGCGGTGTGGCCCCGGCCCCTGGGACACCCCCTCACACGGTGGTCTCGCCGTGCCGGCTGTTGGTGAGACGTGTATAGAACTTCCTCCACGAGTGCAGCGTCTTGCCGGACCAGATCCAGAAGCCCGACGTGATGCCCACGATGAGCGTCATGAGGTATTTGATCATGTAGACGGTGAAGTCGGGCGACATGCGCGGCGTGTAGTGCGCTGGGCACGGGATGGCCAGGCTCTTGCAGTGCTGGCTCACCCAAGAGCGCTCCCAGTGCTCTCGGAAGGCCTGCTCGTAGAAGTAGCAGGCGATGACGATGGTGGCGGGCACCGTGTAGAGCACCGAGAAGACGCCGATGCGCACCATGAGCCGCTCCAGCTTCTCGGTCTTGGTGCCGTCATGCTTCATGATGGTACGGATGCGGAAGAGGGATACGAAACCGGCCAGGAGGAAGGACGTGCCTATGAACAGGTACACGAAGAGCGGCGCCAGCACGAAACCCCGCAGCGGGTCCAGGCTATTGAGGCCCACGAAGCACACGCCGCTCAGCAGGTCGCCGTCAATCTGGCCCATGGCCAGGATAGTGATTGTCTTGACCGCCGGCACGGCCCATGCGGCCAAGTGAAAATACTGCGAGTTGGCCTCGATGGCCTCGTGGCCCCACTTCATGCCCGCCGCCAGGAACCAGGTGAGCGACAGGATGACCCACCAGATGGAACTGGCCATGCTGAAGAAGTAGAGCATCATGAAGAGGATGGTGCAGCCCTCCTTCTTGGTGCCCTGCACCACCGTGCGGTAGCCGTCCTCGGAGAAGCGCTCGTTGCACACCACGCGCTCCTGGAGCACGAAACCTGCGATATAGGCCACCGATACCATAGTGTAGCAGCCGGACAGAAAGATGATGGGCCGCTCGGGGTAGCGGAAGCGCTGCATGTCCACCAGGTACGTAGTGACGGTGAAGAAAGTGGAGGCACAGCACAGCACCGACCAGGTGAGGATCCAGAGGCGCGCAAAACGCGTCTCCTCCTGCGAGAAGAACATGGAGCCATCCGGTCTCGCCGGCTCACAGGGCGCCGCGCAGTCGCGCTCGCCCAGGAACTTGTAGCTGAGATAGGACGGCACCTTGAGGACACGCGGGCAGTGAAACGGGTGTTCCAGCGTGGCGTAGCGCGGGGGCGAGCCGCCACCGCCCGGGCCGCCTGGGGTGCCCCCAGCACCCGGCTGCAGGCCCGGCGGCGGCGCAGTGGTGAGCAGCGCGGGCGAGCCGTCTTCGGAGTGGTTCTGGCCCACGCAGATCTGCTCCGCACCGTGGCGCGGGAAGTGCTCGCAACGCAGACGCTCGGGCCACTGGAAACCAAACTTGTTCATGAGCGCCTCGCAGCCTTGACGTGCGCGCTCGCAAATGGAACGGCACGGCGGTATGGCCTGCTCCAGCACGGTACACACCGGCGCGTACATGGAGCACAAGAAGAAGCGCAGTTCGGGCGAACATTGCACTTTCACCAACGGGTAGAACTGGTGCACCTCCAGGCCCGCGTCCTCCTGGTTCGTATGGCCCAGAAGGTTGGGCATGATGGTCTGGTTGTAGGCGATGTCCGTGCACAGCGGGATGGAGATGGGCTGGCAGAAGCCGTGGTCCGGGATGGAGATACCCTTCTCTCCGTGGAACTGGGCCGGCCCCGCGGCGGGCAGCAGCAGCAGCGGCAGCAGCAGGCGGGGCAGGGCGCTGCGGGGCCGCATGCTGGCCGCCGCCCCCCACCCGGCTCCGGGGCGGCCCCCCGCCCCCCGCCCCTAGCCCGGAGACCGCGCGCCTTCCCCGCCGCCGCCTCGCCCCAGCCGCCGCCTCCCGCGCCTCTTTGCAAACTTTGCTCGGGGCCTCAGAGTTGGGGAGGCCGGGCGGGGGAGGGGGCGGCGCGCCTGCCCGCTAGCTCGCCGCAGTCTAACTGAGCAGCTGGAGACACCGCGCACTGCTTTGCTCTCTCCTCTTTTTCCTCCTCCTCTCGCCTCTCCCCTCCCTTCTCCGCCCAGCGACTCCTTTGTGCCTTCCTCCGGCCCTCACCTCGGCCTCTCGGATCCCAATTAGTCGGTTTCAAGGGGTCCCCGGCCGGCGGCCCCGCCCTCTCCTCAGCCCCCCAAAAAAGGGAACCTTGAAACCGCCCCGTCGAGCTCTAAGCACCATCCCAAAATGTGCTCTTGGCCAATCAGATTTAAACCCGGGGACCAGCCCCGAGGGCTGGATTGGTCGATCACAACATAATGAGATCAGAAACCAGATGCCAACAAAACTTTCCCCCCCTCCTTTTGCTTTTTAAAGAGACATGGCATTATTATATTAAGGGCTGTTTGCCCAGCACGGGATTTATGCTGGCTCGCGGAGGCGAGATCCGTGGACACGCATTCCCCAGCACTGCCGCGGACCCAAGCCCCTCGAGTTTGGATCACTTTTCTTCCGGGGGCCAAGGCACTCTCCAGGGTAGGGCCTCTTTAAATCCTTGCCTCCGCCCCTGCTTCTCAACCCCACCTATTCCAGTCCAATTTTACAGATCAAGTGAAAAAATCTCAAGTTAAAGATTTTTTTTAAAAGAGAGACTTTTAAAAAACTAACAGTTAATAAATACTTTACTCTCAGCCCCTTCTCATGGAGTCCAGGCAAAAGTTTCACTTCACCCAATATGTAGACCCCTAGGAGTTTTCCTCGCCCCGCCCCTACACACACCCTAAATAACCCTCTGAAAAAACGAGAGCCTGTCTCTTTAAGAGGCTCTTAAAGGGGCCTGGACTCCGGGGCGTAATTGCCCCGTAGCGAGCACAAAGAAGCCCATTATGGTTCTTTGTGTTCGGTGGCACCTCAAAGTGAGAAAACTTAGGAACTTAGAGGCCCAGAGCTGGAGGGTTTGGGCGGGGGTGGGAGGAGGTGAGGTGAAAGAGAATGGCCGGGAGCTGCGGCTTCTCCCTCCCCCTTCTTCCGAGGCAAATCTTAATTATGCAAAGTAAAGTTTAGTTGCCATAACGAGGAGGTCTTAATCGAAAGTTAATGGTGGGGGGTAGGGGGTGACGGGCAGTTTTAAGTGAAGAGATGACTTTCTTAGGCCGTTTGGGGGAATTTTACTCCTCTCTCCCCGCTCTGCCTCCGCCCCCTAAAAGCTTCCAGATATCTTCTCCTGGGAAGAGAGTTTTACCCAAATCTTAAGTGATTCCACACCAGAAAGGGATGGTGTGAGTGGGGAGGGACGAGGCTGGGGTTGTTGTGGATTATCACCCCCTCCTAACTCTCACCTGGTTTGGGGTGGGTGGCGGTGGCCAGCAGGGTTCCTGCTAGTTTAAAAGGGTTTTCTTCTTTTTTTCCCTTCTACGATTTTAAATTTAAAGGGGGAGGGGATCTGAGGAGGAGAGGAAGGATTTGCATGTAAATCTCCTGGGCCTGGTACTGGATGATGGATCAATTATTTCTATTGTCTCTCCTGAGGGAAGGGGGGTCACTTAAAAAGAAGAAAAACAATTGAGTTTAGAAAACGCCTTTGCTTCTTAGTATGGGCGAAATCCTCCCAGCCTGGTGAGCTATTGCTCCAGTCTAGAAAATGGTTGCTTTAAAAACAAAAGAACAAAACGAAACAACAACAAAAAGAAATGTAAGGAAAGAATAAGAGTGGGGAGAAGGAAAGACATGGTAGTGGATACATAGAATGGATCCAGGTTTGACAGGATTTGATTTTTTTTTTCTTGATTGAATGATATACAGTACAGATTTTCCAGGTTCTTCACAATATGACAAGGATCCTTATTGTATCCTTGAGAAGTTGCCTTTTTGGTACTTTAAGTAAAATGTTTTCCTTCAAAACCAGGATAGTCCACTTTTGTCTCCAAGCCATCTGGGAATGGGAAAGTTGTGCTCTCCTGCCCTACCTGGCCCAAACTTAGCCTGAGGAGCTGGTCCTTCTGCTCTCCCCTCCTACCCTACCCCCTCCAGGGCATCTTGAGAGCTGGTGCCAAGCCTCAGAGCTGAGCAGTGAAAACAAGAATGAATAAGATAGGCTCCTAGACTCCACCTAGGAAACTGAGAACAAATCTCCCATGGAAGTGCAGCATCTTCAATTTCCTTCCATGACAAACTTGTTTTCCTGCCCTAAGGCCAGGCTTGAGTGACAGTTATCCTTCCCCAGCCATCCTCAACACACAGGGGAAGCTGGGGCTGGAAAAAAAGAAATAAAAGACATTCTTTCATTCACTCAGTCTACCTTTCATTCCTTCACACTTTTATTGAGTTTCCTGACTTCGAACCATGGTGGTAGATTGTGGGGGATATAGAGAAAAATGGCAGCATCCTTGCCCTTCAGGAGTTTGTAGCATCCCAGAAGAAAGTGATTCTATGAAGATCTCCCATTTACCTAGCATTTTTACATGAAATAAGAAACCATGGCATTTCATGATTACTCTTTCCTTTCCTGTGAGGGATTTGAGCGTGAACAGGACCAGAACCTGCATCTTCAGACTACAGGCCTACCCACAGCACTTTCCATTTCACCAACTTGCCTTTTGATTAAAGCAGGTCTGTAACTAAAGAAAATTAATAGACTCTCCATTTAAATGTTTCATGATGTCATTTGATAAATATGGCACTTATTTCTCATTTTTCTTTTTAAAATATGTTTGTATGGGTTTTTTGAGAGAGAGAGAAACATCAGTGTGAGAGAGAAACATTGATTGGTTGCCTCCTGCACACACCCCAACCAGGATTGAGCCCCAAAGGGAGGTTTGTGCCCTGACTGGGAATTGAACCCAACAGATTTTTAAAATATGAAACTACACAGCCAAAATAATTTCTGAATGACAAAGATAAATGTCATAATAGTGGAAAAGTACCTTTCAAAGCAAGAAGTTACATGAATTACTACTATTCAATCAGCAAGTTTCCTTGGGTACCTAAGGTAATTGCTACCATTTATTGAATGCCTACTGAGCACTGCACATACATTATGTGTATGCCTACAAAGTAGGTGTTACATTTTGTTTATGGATGAAGAACTTGACCTTAAGTTTCTCAAGGTCATATAGTAAGTAATAGAACTAAGATTTATGACTTTCTCAAGGTCATATAGTAAGTAATAGAACTAAGATTTAAACCCAGGCCTGCTTGGCTCTTAAAGCTGTGCTCTGCCCGGCCGGTGTGATTCAGAGATTGTGCATCCACACATGAACCAGGAGAGTGAGGTTCATTTCCCAGTCAGAGCACATGACCGGTTTGCAGGCTTGATCCTCATTAGGGAGCATGCAGGCAGCAGATCGATTATTTTCTCTCATCGTTGATGTTTCTATCTATCCCTTCCTCTATCTGAAATCAATTAAAACAATTTTTTTAAATAGCTGTGTTCTGTCTCCTAATGTCTATAAGAATTGTGTGCTTTTATGCACTTAACAAATATATGCTGACTGCCAGACCCACCTCTGTTGTATGGAGCTTATATTTTAGTGGGAGAGACATTCATCATACAGTCACTTAAATGGATGTAAAATTGCCCCAGGTTTCAGTGCTTTGAAGGGAAAGTCCATGGGGCTGGAAAAGCATAATGGGAGAGGGACTCTGAGTGGGGGAGGGCAGCAGAGGCCTGTGTGGTTGGAATAAGGAGTAAAGCAGGATGAGGGAAAGAAAGGCCGGCAGGTATGAGACCCATAGGGCCTTGCAGACCTCATGTGTAAGGTGCTAGGTGCAGAAATATGAACCCCATCTCAAGGCAGGGAAAGGCATTCCAAACAGAGGGAACAGCATGTGCAAGGACATGGTGGGTGAAATAAATGCAATGAGAAGGGAGCACAAGTATATAAGTATTTTGGCCCTGTTAGAGCCCTATGTACATCAGGAGAGTGATGGCAGAGGAGGTTTTGAATAAGCAGGGACCTGCCCTGACCAGTTTGGCTCAGTGGCTAGAGTATCGGCCTGTGGACTGAAGAGTCTCAGGTTCGATTCTGGTCAAGGGCATGTACCTTGGTTGCGGGCACATCCCCACTAGGGGGTGTGCTGGAGGCGGCTGATCGATGTTTCTAACTCTCTATCCTTCTCCCTTCCTCTCTGTAAAAAATCAATAACATATATTTAAATAAGCAGGGACCTTATATACCATGTTCACAATCTGGACTCTTGGAGATAGAGATACATACACTAGAATGTTTAGGGAAGGGAATTGGTTACACTTAAGTTTTAGACAGTGCATTTGGGCAGCTGTGAGGAGACACCGGTTAGGAATAGATAGCAAGACTCCAGGTAAGAGATGGCAAAGGCATGATCTGAGCTGTGGCAGTGTACATGGAGAAGAGGGAGAGAAGGGAGGAAGCCCAACAAGGTTTCTGACCAGATGACCTGATATCATTAACCAGGCTAGGAAACACAGGGGCAGGGTGAATAGTGAACGTAGTCAAGCCAGTCCAAACCTATGGTATGTCCAAGGGCAGGTGTCCAGAACACAGGTAGATTTTCTAATCCAGTGCCCAGGAGGGAGCTCTGAGCTAGATTTAGATCTGGTACCTCTAGCCTATGGTTGGAGCTGTCAGAATGGCTAGGATCACCTAGGAACTGGTGGAAAGACCAAAGCTTTGGGGATGCCAACATTTAAGGACCATGAGCCTGATGAGGAAGGAGAGGGGAAAGGAGTGGTAGGGCCAGAAGAGAATGTCACAAGGCTTGTTACTCCTGGTCTGGAGCCTCAAATCAGAATTCTTATTTACCTTGTTTCAGTTATGAGCATTAAGTGATATAGTGTATAGCACTCACTTGATCTGATCCAAAGCTAAAAGTTCGGTAAATAACAACTATTATTTTTATCCAGTAAATTATTGAGCAGATAAAGTCTGCAGAGACCCAGGCTACAGCTTCTGGAAGCTTACAGTCTAGGGGGAGCAACAGTTTGCTGGCAAATCTGGGCCACTATTCTTCCCGAAGAAACATTTCTGGTGGGTCCTGGGCTCCTGCTGTGGGCTGGGAACCTAGGCGTCTCCAGTACACAGTGCCAATGCCACTTCTCCCCCAAATCCTGGGGCACTACTGCCAATCATATCTCGGCTTACAAATCTCATATCTGGGATAATTGTTGA